TTCTCTGAGACTGCTGTTTTCTGCATGTTACAAATTTGTATAGATCCTCAAACTATTTAGCAGATTATTATCAATAAAAAGTTTGTGAATGTTTATTCAAAACCTGCCAAGGAGTCCAGTTCGCTTTGTTGTGTCTTCAGATACTTTGTAAAGGGTTCCCATTCATCCTTAAAGTCACAGTTATCCTTTTCCCGTAGCTTATATGTCAATTTTGCCAGTTCTGCATAGTCCGTCAATTTTTCTTGCCATGATTCTTTAGTTGGGGTTTCTTCAGTCTTCCATCCTTGCACTACCAGAACTCTCGCGGCCGTTGTTGCATACATGAAGATGTTTTTCAGATTTGATTTTTTGGCAGGTCTTTCCCTACAATCCCCAACAAAAATGCCTCGGGTTTTTAAATAATTGTTAAATGGAACATTTTCTTCAATTCATTGTATATCATTTCCCAATTTTTTTTTATCTTTCTCACTTCTTTTAATGAGAGGCATTGACGCAGTTCAGATGTAGCATACGAAGCCAAACTATGGCTTTGCATGAAAGAGCAAACATACAGTCATACCTTGGTTCTCGAACAGCTTAGTTGATGAACAAATTGGCTCCCGAACTCCGAAAACCCAGAAGTATGTGTTCCGGTTTTTGCGGAACCTGAACGTCTGACGCGGCTTCCACTTGAGTGCAGGAAGCTCATGCAGCCAATCGGAAGCCATGCCTTGGTTTGAAACAGTTTTGGGAGTCGAACCGACTTCTGGAATGGATTAAGTTCGGGAACCAAGGTATGACTGTATACAGGTTCTGGAGCAAAGACAGCAACTCATGCGCTTCCCTCCTGGACCTGTTTCTGCACATCCTGGGGCGGAGCTCCTGTTGGGCTTAGCATTGCATCCCAACTCAGGCCTCACACAGGTGATCACAACGATTTTTCCAGGTTTGACTGTTTTAGCTGGGGCTGGTGGGAGTTTCAGTTCCTTGGAGGCAGGGCATTGCCTAGTATTTATCACCACTTCCTTTACCATAAGAAGCAGAAAAGCACATATTGGGGCTGCATCCTTTCACTATGTAATATTTTCTGTGCAATTAGTTTTTTCTTACTGTGCTCTAAACAGAGTCTCAGTATTTCTATTACTGCTTACAATCTAAAACCTAAATGAGCCTGGTTGCACTGCAGCGAAAAGCACATTTGTTGTCAGAAGCTGCCTTGATTAAGATTAAAAGAACATTTATAGGCAATAAACCAGAAACATAATCTCTCTCTATCTCTCTCTCTCACACACACACACACACTTTCTCACTCACTCACTGTGTAATAACTTCATCCTGGCAAGTGTTGTGCAGCTCATAAGCCTTACAAAACCCACCCTGAAAGCAGTAGGCAGACAAGGATAGTGTTGTGGAGTGTGGCCCTCTGGTGGTGCCATTTGTAGTTTCGCCTTTCCGGCCTTGTTTTGAAATCTTAGCCTGAAACAGGATAGCTGTGTTAGAAATGCCGTCAAGTGAACATACTAAATGCATTTTGCTGGTTCGAGCCTTGCTTGATTAAACATTTGATTGTTACTTTTTAAATTACTGTAACCCACGTATAAGTGGAAAGTCTGGATTTTAAATAAATAAGCGCTCTCTACTTTTCAAAAAAAAAAAAATCCTCTGCGCCATCCTTCCCAACACTTTGCATACGTGTGGTGCTGAAACGTGGCTCTGTGTCCAACAATATAGATTTTTTCTTCCTGCCTCCACACCTGACACACATATCCAATTCTTTTGTCCCTCTCACAGTGGAATTCCAAGCCAGCCTTCGTGAAAGACAGGCAGGATTGGAGGCAACTTTGACAACAATTCGCCCAATCTTAATTTTTTTAGTAACTTGCTTTTATAACAGTACAAAATAACAAATACAGTACAAAGGAGCTGTGCAGTTAATGTCAGTGTCAATTACATATCCCATTGGCCCAGTCGTGTAGCAGAATAAAAATGAAGTGCTGATTGTGATATAAATAAGTTAGGCATAGCTTCATAAGATACATATTCTTAACACTGCTTAGGGTGATGATATGAACAGCTCCTGTATAGGTTGTTGATAGGTGTACACATTGTCCAGAATGAAGAAATTTATAAATAAGGACTATAATTTAAACATAAATACAATACTCCTCAACATAGCGGGGGAGATTGGGATGAGGTAACCTGCCTGTGGTTCTTTAAACTGGATTTAAACCAGAGAAATCTTCAAAGAAATGATGAGCCTCTCTTCCTTTATATACGGGTAAATTTATTTCCCAGGTTTGGTAACACTTAAGAAGTCATGCAAAGCCACACTTTGAAGGCCTGAGCCTGTCCCTTAGTAGAGTAACCTGGCACCTTCCAGATGTTGTTGGATTAGTTGTGGTCCAGCCACATCTGGAGGGCACCAGACTGGTGAAGGCTTTAGTTGGTACAGTGAGTAAAAGTCATTTCCGATTTCCAACTTCTCTACAAACTGCTCTATAGATAAGTCTGCTGTATATAAACACACAAACCCAAGACTATTGTTAACAGAAATATTTTACTCTACCTATTAATGATCGGAATGCAGTAATAATTGTACCTTAGTTTTCAAAACTTAAACAGCCTTATTCACAGCTGCAGACATACAAGTTGTAGTTGACGGCAGTGGCTGAGCAAACTTTGCTAGGTAGTCTGCAGTACAACAACGCTTAGAAAAAACAAAATAGCTGCTTTAAGATACTGTTTATTATCAGTAGAGGGCAGTATATGCAAACAGAATTGAACAGAACTGTGTAGTGTGCACAAATGCCAAAACTTTATACAGTACATTGTAAAAGTAATTATTACAAGTTTAATGCTGTCGCAAAATCTAGTAGATCATCCTATTTTTAGCTTTCTTGCTTCTATCAGTTTAGGCTTCGGGTGGATCTAAAAAGAAATTGAAACGTGGAATTTTAGAACCTAATTCAAACAGTTTCTCTGGTCTTCACTATCCAACAGATTCAGCCTTAGTTTCATTGCCACCCTGTCGTAAGGGTGCACAAGTTGACATTGTAAGGGTGCTGAAGTAAAGCTGCCAAGTTTACAAATGTATTGTGCAAGACATGGTTAAGATACATCAGCTGAAAAAATCTTCGTAACACGTAAATTTCAACATGACCCTTGTGCATCCAGAGCATTGGTGCTGGTGTAATTGAATCACTGATTGAGCCCCTCCTTCAGCTAAAACCAATTCATGTTTTTAATATAAATGTACTCTTGGGATTGTTTTCTTTCACTCTAAATGCTGTTGTGTGTAGTATCTAGGTCAGAGCCGCAGAAAAGCATTTCTGAGGAGATTAAAGCTGGGCACCTCTAGCTGCCTATTGTCTGCTCATTTCAGTTTTCCTCTGCATACTATGTAATTCTGTCTCTACAGTCATACCTCGGGTTACAGCCACTTCAGGTTGCATTTTTCGGGTTGTGGACCGCCGAAACCCGGAAGTACTAGAACGGGTTACTTCCGAGTTTCGGTGGTCGCGCAGAAGCACTAAATCACACTTTGCGCATGCGCAGAAGTGCCGAATCGCAACCCGCGTGTGCGAACATGTGGGTTGCGAACGTGCATCCCGCACGGATCACGTTCGCAACCCGAGCATTCACTGTATTAGCAAAATCAGATATCCTCTTCTGCCCTCTTTCCTATCACTACAGCGGGAAAAATGTGCACAGGGAACATCTGAGTCTTATGCTAACCTAACTTCCGGAAAGTGCCTGCTTGCATAAAGAATTTTGCACATATGCTTTGTCTGTGTGGTCAAGGACCTCGTCTTTACACAAAGGAAGGTAAATAAATTCCACAAGTGGAGCAGAGCACATACTGCCTGGTGGTTGAGCCCTTCTCTTAATTCACTGGCTCTTGATTAGGACAAGAAATCCAAATTCTTTGGAAAAAGCTTTTCGGGAGGGTTGTGGTCCCCAAAATACTGGCTGAGTTCTGCCGTTGATGAGAGTTCAATCAGGACTGAGCTATGCTGTGAATGTACTGCAAATCAGGTGCTCTGAGTCACCATCTCTGCAATTTCTAATCACTAATGGTGACCAAGATCCCTGTAAATGACAATCCTGCATTTTGCGGGGTATCGGAATCTGAATTTATTTGACTTTCACATCCCCAAAATGTTTAAATTCATGCAGAAGGAAAGTGTGGCAATTGGAGAAGCTGCTTCCTTTAATAAGTCAAGGCACCCTCAGTGACATGTCATATTCCTCCTCTAAGACTGAAATCAGACAATAGCTTCCGTCCCCCGGTAGTATATGCACTTACCACACCGTTACTTCAATAGATTTTTGCCATATTTTGCAAGTGCTTCAGAACCTACAAAATCACTTTGACTAGGACTACTCTTCAGTCACTGTCCAGATGTTGTTCTTCAATAGAAAACTACATCTCACATAAATCATAAAAATTCCTGTTATTTAAATTACCTGGTCTGGGTTATCAGTGTGAAAATAATAGACAGATTAGTTACCCAAGTAGGTCAGGCCAGCAGACAATCTAAAGTGGCTATTGTTGCTGTGGTTTGCTTAAACCTTCTGAATGTGATAGCAACCCTGGAATTAGGTTACTCTACTCTGTTCAAGGAACAGTCCCTTAGGACGATGGTCTCTGAACATCCTAGTCCCCGTATTATACATAAATGCACCTTAAGAGATCCTCAGTTTTTGTTGCTTGCTGGCCTTTTCTGTTTAGTTCATCAGTGTCGTGTTGATATTAGCCCTGGTTTATTATTTTAATCCTGAGCCTCACATGTTTTGGGGGGTTGTTAAAGCACCAAAGTATAGTATACCTGGAACTATTTTGAGAATTCTAATGCGAAATTTAGATTACACAGTTTCAGAGAGTGGGGCAGGTCCTACCCAACCAGACGTCACCTTGGTGTAAAATCATGTGCTAGGATATGATGCCTGGATTAGCGGTAAAATGGAACAGGCAGACTTGACTTTACTTCATTTGATTAAAGTCAACTTTCATTTTGAAAGCTGGGGATAGCTGAGTTGGTAGAGCATGAGACACTTCATCTCAAGGTGATGAGTTCGAGCCCCATGTTGGGCAAAAGATTCCTGCATTGCAGGGGGTTGGACTAGATGGCCCTCATGCTCCCTTCCAACTCTACAAATCTGTGATTGCCTGCAGAAAAGTCCTATTAAATTCAGTAGGACTAAGTTCTCATCCGTTATGACCAGGAGGAGGACTTCTGCTGTGATTACAGTGAATCTCAGTTTAGCATTGCATGCAAGGAAGGAATCCCAGTTTAAAATGAACAATGGTTAAACAAACCAGCCTCATAAACCATGGTCTGAGGCTGGCTTGTTTATCAGCTAACCATTGTTTGTTTTAAAACAGAATTCATGGGTTGACTAGGAGATGGGGCAGGCAGGGAGACTGCAAGGCAGAAGCGCTGCTTGGGACAACCAAGCCCTGTATAGGTAGAGCTCAGTCTAAAGTGCAGCTCATTGCATAGAGAAGCTTGAAGATGGAATTTCACAGTACTTTAAATCCCAGAATACAGTGGTACCTCGAGTTAAGAACTTAATTCGTTCTGGAGGTCTGTTTTTAACCTGAAACTGTTCTTAACCTGAGGTACCACTTTAGCTAATGGGGCCTCCTACTGCCGCTGTGCCGCCGGAGCAAGATTTCTGTTCTCATCCTGAAGCAAAGTTCTTAACCCGAGGTACCACTGTAATATTTAATCAGGGCATGTACAGGTTATGGGGGGGGGGGTCACTTGTATATCATGGTCTGGCATTGTGTGTTAACCAGCGCACTGAGATTTTTATTGGGGGAGATGCAAACTTTCTTTATGATTGTGCATGGCAACATTTTCATTTTTGGGAATTACAGACAATGCCCCCACACTAAGGTGGGGGTTACGTTCTGGGGCCCCACGTGCATAAGTGGAATCGTGTAAAGTGGGGCGCACCCCCCTTTAATAAAGAGGGCACACAAAGGGGGGGGGTAGAGAGAGAGAGAGAGACTCAACCTGAAAATTTCTTGGGGCCTTTGCCTGCCTCCCTGAGGGAAGCCAGTTCATGTCGCAATGACAGCAGCTGGTCATGGAAGGCCAAGAAGGGCGCCCAGCAGAATTGGTGCCAGGATGGGGTTGTGGGTGCGAGGCGGAGAGCAAGGTAGATGCAAAGGTGTCTCCCACTCCACACCACTGGTCAATCGAAGGCCACCTTCCTTTGCTTGGGCAGCAGCCCTGAGCAAGAGAAGGCCTGTCTATCTATCTATCTATCTATCTATCTATCTATCTATCTATTTTGCAACAACATGCATAAGCATGGTCATGTGTAAGTGGGATGGGTGGGTGCCTGTATAGGCCTTTTTTGAATACCAGATGGCTGTGTAATTCAACTATATGAAGGTACTCAATGAAACACGTTAAAGCTGGTGTGGTTTAGGGCTCATCTGTACATTCACTTAAAGCTTCACTTAATTGAGCAGCCCAATCTTTCATCCTTGACGTCCTATCTGTAATTTGGGGAAAACAGTAGTGGCTTACTTTGCTTGGTGGTTTACTGAGGTAACCTATGTGAAACACTTTTAGTAATTAGGGAAAGTGCTACACAAATGCTAAATATTACTGTTTAATTGAGCAAAACGTACTTCATGTTTTCGAAAGAAATATAACTCTTGCAGCACGTTTCATTCTCACTAGATGTTTCACAAATGGAGATTGCCTTTGCTCTTGGCCTAATTTCAGTGGACATTAGTAACGCACATGTAAAAATCCCTCATGGATAGTTTTATAAATTGGTAACACCGAAGTTAATGCTTCGTTCAGCTGATGGAGAGAGATACAGTCTCTGAGATCTTAAGACGCAGTGAAGAAGTTGTCTTTAAGGTGTTGCCGGATTCTGTGCTGAGTTCCCTGCAGTACACTGACAATGGCCACCCCTTTGTAAATTGATTCTGTTTGTGATGACGCAAAGAGGGGAAGCTGCAGTGCTACGGCAACTCTTTTGTTGACTCTGGTTTCTTTGTTCATACTGCTTCACGAAATGCTTGCACCTGGTTTGAAATGTAGTACGGTGTTGATACTCATAAGTGTTCCTATCTAATTTCCCCCTCTTTTTGGGACATACTGTATGTGAGCTACCAGGCTGACCAGAGGCTGTGTGTACACACCTAACAACGCAATATGGATTCTGTCAGATTGAAATGCAGTAGAATTGCTGCACTGGAGACTTAGCTAAACAGTTTTGCAAGGGTTTTCCTCACGTTCGGCTGTTTGAAAATAAATAAAGTGCTCTAGAAAATGTGCTGCTTTTAAAATAAAAAATGCAGTGAGCTTAATAAGCCAATGACATTTAGCCTGAGCTGAGCAGTCACTTCTGCCTCGTTGAATGGGTGCAATGAGCCGCTCTCACTGAGCTAGTAAATGCTACTGAGACACACACACACTCACAAAAGTTCAGCTAATTAATCATGTCTGCACAGAGGTAATGCTGCAGGGAAGCCATTATTAAATGGCATTTAGCGCAAAAGAAGAGAACTACCCTTTGCCCAAGAGATTCACCTGTGCTGCCCAATCAGAAACTAGCACACACATGTCATGGCTTTTTCTTCTGCTTTTATATATTTCGGCAGGGACGTGATTGGCTCTTATCTGAGATTAATGGGAGGGATTACTTGACACTGGTTGTAGCTTCCCTGCAGATTCTTATTTGGTAGGCTGTTGATATAGAACAAGTCTCTTTCAGCAGCTGAGCATCTTGGCATACATAATTCATTAAGTCGTGGTGTTCTGGAAATATGCAGATCTCTTACCGCTCTTCAGATTTCTCTTCAGCTGGTGAAATTTGTCTTTCCAACCAAGTCCTTGAATTTTACTGCACTTTGGAATTTTGCAAATGGCTCTTATATAACCAGAAGATCTCACAACTGGAATGCCAGTTAGATGTTTTCTTGTGTACCTAATAGCAGGGAATCAATAGATCAACAAAACTAACAAACTGAAAAGCAAAATTCATTTAAAAGAATCCAGCATACTTTCCCCTGTTGTCTCAATAACAGCAGAGGGCTGGAAAATTCTGTTTTAAATTGGTAACCCTAAAAAAAATCAAAAATGCCCGAAGCAAACTATTTACTCTCAGTGTCTTGGGGCTACATAAAGGTAGGAATGTCTTCTTTTTTTACTTTTTAACCATTCTTGTCTGATTTAAAAGCATAATTATGAAAAAACAAGATTGTGGAAATAATCATTTGAAAGCTGTGGTTGTTTTTCTTTGCATTATAGACTGAGACTGTATTGGTATATTAGAATAGCTTGTAATATCTAGCTGGTAGCTGTGGAAAGAGATCCTTCATTTTTCAGTCATGCCTGATTATGCCTATAATAAAGTTGAAGTCTGCTTTTTGGCAAATATCAGATTGGAACTATTGTGCCATATTCCATTAACCAAGGGGAACTTAGTTAAATAGATTGTGTGACTAATAATGGCTGAATGCATGCATTCATAATGCTTTCTGATCACAACGTAGATCTCTGTTTCCAAGGATGTGTTTTAATAGCATATTCTGGTTTCCTGTGTGTGACACACAGCTTCTGTTGATTAAATCTCATCTGAAATGATGGGAGGCGGAAAATGGTCTTCCCTGAATGTTGACCTGTCTTACAATTTATACATGATGAAAATCAGTCTTGATTTACAAAGCTTCTATAAAAGAAAGCCAAATAGGCTTTTCTCTCTCTTCACACTAGCAGGTATACTGATTTATTCATCACATGCAGCATAAAATGCTGTGTTAGATTCCCGGAGTAAATCACGGGGTGGGGGGGTGGGGAACGGGACATGTATATCTTCTCTGGGTTGTTCTTTAATTATATGCCCATGTAATACTTCCACGTTATCCTCTTTTCCTTGATATTCATACAGTGTGTTCTTTAATGGTCCAGTAAAATAAAATCAGTGAGCTTCAGTTAAATCCATCATATTGTTAAATCAATTGCAGTATTGGCTTAGGACCAACAAAGATGTCTTAGAATGCTCAACTTGGATATAAGCTATTTAGGTCACCAGGCACTTTGATTCTAAAGCAGACCACACTCACCTCCACCCAATATTTTTTGTTTCCAGAATTTCGAACAATTCTCTTTTCAAGAACTGGTTTTCCCATATGCCTGATAACTTGTTTTCAAATATTACAAGTGCTCTGTTTATGGTATATTGTTAGGGGGGCCTTCTACTTTGCTCAGGATCCTGAGGGTTCTGTCTTCCCGGTACCTACTTGCAATACTTTGCCCCCAAGTAACGATGCCAAGAACAGATGAATATCCCGAGTCAGCAAGGAGAATTTTGTGTGCAAAAGAAATCAGGCTTTTGCACATGGATTTCTCTGCAAAAGGCTGCTCTGTGTAGAATTCCCCATCCAGCAACCTGTCGTGTGCATGCAGTGCTTCTGCATTCAATGCCGATCAGCAGATAGTTGGTTAGCCCTGTGTATCAAGTAGTACAGAGAGCCTATGTGGTTCGGGCTGCTGGATTTGGACTAGGAAAGCTTTCTCCAACCAGATGCCCTCCAGATATTTTGAACCACCACTCCCATTGTCCCTGACCATTGGCCACACTGGCTGAGGCTGATGAGGCTTGGTGTCAAAAACTAAGGCAGGCACGAGGTTGGAGAAGACTCTGCTAGGGAAGCCTGGGTTCTCATAATCCCTACTCTTCTTTGAAGGTCACTGGGTGGCCTTGGGAAGTTCACCTGCTTGGGCAAGCCCCCAAAATGGGATAATCCGCTAGTATGCTGCCCTGAGCTCTGTGGATATACAGATTTGATAGAACCAGTGGGGGATGGGGTAACCACCTACAAGCAACCCATCCCCCCACCCCCACCAAAAAACAGGGAGGGTATTCAACACTCCCTATTGTGATATTGAAGTTTGTTCTGGCCAGTCACCCCACATGCAGTTTGCAGCTATACACACTGACATTTATTGTGGCACTGAGTTTTCAAGTGCATGCACTATTGTTAATCAAATCTTAGCAAGCAGAGTAAGAACCTCAAGTGATGAGACAGTTTAATATATGTGTTCAATAATATACTGGTGTTTGGTTTGGTTGGTGATTTTTGCTTAAGAGATTACACACACACACACACACACACACACACACACACACACACACTTTTCTCTGCTTTGTTTTTCCAAGCTTAGTGCATGAGTTTTGCTGGCTTGCAGGTAGAGCGAATCTATTTATCTGTGCAGGCTTCTTTGCCAAATCATTAAAAAAAATGTAAGCAGTTGATTTTCCAGTGGATCTGTTTTGCATCATTGTGTTTGACAACAAATGCATTTTACATCTGGAGAGACAGGGATTGGATCCCTTTTAAAATTTGCTATAGATGCAAAGACCCATTGAAGTAGGTAGGAGTTAAGCAGGTACTTGGAAGTACATCCTGCTGAATTCAACAAGGCTTAGATAAATGTGCAAAGGATTGTAGCCTTACAGCACAATCCTACGCTTGCCTACTTGAGAAATTGAGTTCAATAGGGATTACTTCCAGGAGAGGTTCTGTAGGATTGCAATATTGTGCTGAGTAGGCCCCATACATTTAAAAGCACAAGTAATTTTCTCTCTTAAAAAATCCTGGGAACTATAGTTTACCTCTCACAGCTACAGTTCCCAGTGCCCTTAGGTGCCATTGCCCATCACCCTGAGAGGTCCACTACTGATGCTTGCCCCTGGGCCACATGTCATCATTTCTCCGCCTAGCTCAGCACTCCGAGGAGGGCCAGCAGCTGGATTGACCAACCATATTTATATCCCACAATGCCCCCTTTAATGAGAAATCCAAGGTAGTGTAACATGCATATGTCCGCCCTTGCTCAGAGCTAAAGACCCCTTGTTGCCATCTGCTGCTGGGGATAGTTCCCCAGTTACAGAGATAAATTTGCATGTGCCAGTCCTCGCCTGACACATTTCTGAGGTCCTTTATGGATGTGCCTTCAGGAAAACACCAGGGATCGAAACAAACCGCTGCTGTCATGAAATAACCTGTGATAGGGACCCTCTCCTACCTTGTGCATTTGCACAAAAAGAGGGACATACATATCAAATAAGCGCTGCCCAGGAAACAGGTAGATATGCTCCTCATTTGCAGGCTTAACTGTCTAAAGCAAACATGACAAATGAAAGAAGCAGAGCCATGTAAATTTAAAAGAGCAAATGAGAGTGGCTGATCAAAAAGAAAGGAAGGGCATGGACTGCTTTCAAAGCATGTACCCTGGCCCATTTTCTCTCATTTTCCCCACATAATTTTGTTTTGTTTTGTTTTCAAGTTATGCAGTTTGTATGGGGAAATAGATATCAGAGAGAAGTGGTAGACAAGGAGTTTGAGAAACCGTGCTCAATGTTCTCAAGCTTGGAGACAGCGTTGGAGGGAGGGGCATTTGCGATGCAAATGTGCATTTTGGCCAGTGCAGGTTTTCCATTCATAACCTGATGAGCTGTTTCCAAGCCTCATGTGTGAAAACACCCCTAGGAACAGGGGAAAGGCATACATCCCATTTTATGTCACATGGGGGAGCAGCCGCTCACTGCCAGGTGGAAATGGAAAAGCACAAATGGTCTGTTTCTATTAAGTGTGATGGCTGTCTTTGCTGCCTATGGAAATGTTTGGTGATTTATTAATTCATAGAATCGTAGAGTTGGGACCACAAGGATTATGTAGTCCAACCTCCTGCAATGCAGGAATCTTTTGCCAGATGTGGTGCTTGAACCCACAACCCCTGAGATTAAGAGTCTCATTCATTCTCTACCAACTGAACTATCCAAGCCAGCGTCCATTTCCCTAATGGCCTAGCAAACATGTTTGTCCACCTAGAAACCACAATTTGGAATTTTTCTCCCCATCCCCTGCCCTAGTCTTTCTCTCTTCTTCTGTTCATGCCCCCCAGATCATAGGATTGGGCCCACGGATTCCTGTGCCCTTGTTTAAGTTGCTAGGAGTTGGCCTCATTTCCCTCTCTCCACATCATCTAACCAGCAGCTAACATTAATGCCATTTCAAGTCAGAAGGGACTGCCGAAGGGAACTTCCTTGGAGCATGAATCATGTCAGCTCTCCCTGGACCCTTGTGCCTATATTCAGATTCTGGAGGCTTGGAACTCTTTATTCCAGTGCACTGTGCTGCTGGAGAACTTCAGCCTGGGGAAAGCTGAGCTAGGGGGTTGCAGAAATGGATTTTCTCCCTTACAGTAAGGGTAGCTGTTGCAGCACAAGCTGCTATATCAACCTAGCTCCCAAATACTGTAGTCTTCAAAATTACACAAACATGTGATAGCAAACCCATTACAAAAGCATGAAATAAAGTTTTGCGGCTCAGGATAATAATAATAATAATAATAATAATAATAATAATAATAATAAAAAAATAAAAATATTGCATATGAGCTTGGTAGGCAGAACATCACAGGAATATCAGTTGGAGGGCTTTGCTGGTTGATACTTGGAGTGGGCTGTTGTATCTCCAGTTTCATGATCTTGTTTTTAAAATGCCAGAGATGCTCTTTTCTTTGTGAGAAAGCTATATCCACAAACAAAAAATGAAGAGTGCTCCAGTTTCCATAGCATTTGGGGGGGGGGGCTGGGTGCTTAGCTTTAGATGCACATACGTATTTTTAGTGAGCGGATGAGAGCTTTTGATCTTTTTCATACTCTTTCCAACAAGGATACTTGAAATCGTGCAGGGTTGACATTTTTCAATTTATGTGATGGCTTTTTGAAAAGTGCACTTCATATCAAAATACAAAAATAGGGCCTAGGAATATGAGAAGCCAAGAGCATTGTTTTCTTTCTTCTGTAGGACAAAAGTGGGTGTGGGTGTGTATAAACATTTGAATGGCAGTAATCCCCCTCTCCCCAAAATTAAAATCTAGTACATTTGCAGCGTCGATTGATCTGCCTGCCATCGTTCCCACAGTTTGTTTTCAGCCTCTGTTTATATAACATTAAGTAGAATAATGTATTTCTCCTGGAAATACCATTTGACTCTGCATTATGCCCATTGAAGTGAGCTGGTTTGCTGAATTAAATGTTTGAATATGCCTAATATTAAAAGAACACTGAATTTTCTCATTGCAAGGACTACAATTCTTGCCTATTGACGTGTCCTGTTTTTGCTTTTCTTTGCAGTTTAAAAGAATGCTCAACCGGGAGCTAACCCACTTATCTGAAATGAGCCGATCGGGCAATCAGGTCTCTGAATATATATCAAACACCTTTTTAGGTAAGCTTACGATTATGGACACTAGTACTCTTTGTGCTGTTCCTTGTGCTTTTCCTTCCTCTCCACCACCCACCAGTAACATCCAGATGGAAAGTTTATGAAAATTCATATCCTGTGCTATTGGTTTAACTGCAGTATTTTTCAAACTTATGCATATAAATCACTATTGGTTAAATAAAATGCAGTGCCCTATTTTATTTTTCCACATGCTCTTTCCTTTACATTGAATATGGCCCTGTTGTGTTCAGAAAGTTCAGTTGGACAGGGTTCTCAAATACTGTTCCCTTTCACGCTAAAATAGAGTATTGTGACATATTATTTGACAACCTGTGTTCAAAAGCATCATTGCTTATCTAGCTCAAATGGCACTCTCACACACATCAGCAATCCTGGGTACCCCAAGGTTTGCAGAAGTACAGAAATATTCAGACGTCTCCATCCCCCTTTCCACAAAGCCCCAGTGAGGACTGAGTGTACTTATTGGCCACTGAATCCTGACTGGCTGTTTTAAGAGTAAGTTGGAAATGGAATGGAATATCCTGGAGGGAAACCCTGCAACATTTTCTTGTAGTTGCTACTTGTTTAATATAGTCCCATTTGCTAAATACTCTATCTATCTAAGCATTTATCTAAAGACAAATTAAACACGGCAGCTGCAAGCCTAAACTATCTTACCATGGTGTAAATCCCATTGAACAGTAAGTAGGACTTACTTCTGAGTAAGCATGGTCCAACTGACCAATTCTGATAGTGCTTTATACCTTCAGCTGATGTTGATACTGCTGCAGTTCCCACCGCTGTTCAGTTTTTAAAATGGCTTACCATTTTAGCAGAGGGAAGTTGCAGCATCGAGCAAAAAACTGTGTGCACAATTCTGCCCCCCACCACAATCTTGCTTCTTGGGATTTCGGCCTAAATCTTCTGGCACAGTCATGGTTTTTCTCTAAAGTATTACTTGCATTCTGTGGTTTGGTAAAGAAGTATAAATTGATATACCCCCTTCAGTCTTTGGGTTGTGTCCAGTGGTTGCTTTGAACGAGCTTACAGTCCTGCAAAGCAAAACAAATCTCCCCACCCTACTGCAGCCCTCTGCATTATATCTCATCCTGTTCCATAGAATTCCCCACCCCTGAGAAGCAGCCTGGAGGAACACAAGGAGGTTATTATATGTAGAGGAGAGATACATAAACCACCCACATGGTACGTGTGATCACGCTTGTGTCATACTAGTTCACACTCGTGCCAACAAAAGAAGAAGGCATTGTTGCTCCAGGACCTTATTGAGGACCATGAAGCCTGCACAGTGCCCTGCTCTTCCTACATCACTCACTTTTGTGGCATCACAAACAGCTGGCCATTGGTGGGACTGAGCAGAGCACTGGTGCAAGAGGTCAGCTGACTCTTGTGCTCCAGAGATAAGGGCTTGCACTCAACTTAATGGGCAGCCTGCTGTGCTTTTCTGCAGCTTATATAAACCATTGCCTGACACAGCTGGCCAACTTAAAATTATGTTGATTATTAGGGAAACGTGAAGAGGGAGACCATTTTGCGTCTGAATTTGCTAGACCAGAACTTGGTTCTGTTCACTGCGGCTTAAAAACTAAATACCTTTTCCTATTTAGTCTAGATACACCCGAAACAAATCCTTTATAAAACAAAACTCGGCTCTAAGCCTTTGAAAAACACAGATGATCTCTAAAACTGAATTTAAGGAACCCTGTGTCATGAAATTCTACTGAATATTGATCCAGTGTATAGTTAGCAGAGTAAAACTTGTTGCAGGATTCCCCAAAAAATAGACCAGAGGCAATTAATATTTCATCCAGTAGAGCTTTACTGCTACTGAAGGCAAATGAGCATAATGGTCACAAATCCAATACATTCAGGATTGGCATTGTCCATAAGAAACCCAGCTGCAGCAGACTTAACTTAAACTTACATTAAAACTTAACCTTAACTCTATATACAGAACACCACACCAGAAGGAAAAGAGATAGAAAGGGAAAGGGAAACCCAGGCTCCTTCTGGCCTTACTTTTATAGTCAGCATGACCTTGACCAGTGGTTCTCAACCTGTGGGTTCCCAGATGTTGTTGGACTACAACTCCCATGACCCCCTGAGCTCTGGCCTTTCTAGCTAGGGGTGATGGTAGTTGTAGTTCAACAACATCTTGGAACCCACAGGTTGAGAAAGCCTGACCTTGACTAAAGGAGAAAACAGAACCAGTTTAAATCAGCTGTACTCGGCTTCTCTGAAGGAATAACCCAAACACCATGAACCTTCTGCTTGTTTCACACAGAGAAGATCCCAGAACCCTCTTGAATTAATTAGAATAGGAAAGATCACACATCACATCAATACTTTCTGTACTAAGAAATGCAAACTGACACCCCCCCCCCCCGGAGAAGGAAGGGATAAGTTTAGTTTCAGAAACTCTGGAAAAAAAAGCTGGAATAAGATTGCCGGCAGAGATGACCTACATAGGAGGATTTTCTCGCTATGACTCACTGAAGAACCCAAGACTTCACTGTCTGCCTGTGTTTCTGTGGCAGCGAGGGAGATGCATACCCTAAGGAAATGTGTCCACCACAGACCTATAAATTGAACTATCCTGTAAGCAGGACTCAATCCTGTGTTTACATTAAGCAACACAGATCCATTGTTAGACCAGCTTGTTTAAATAGCAGGACTGAAGTTTCGGATCCAATCCAAAGGATCTCGTGCCTATATCATTTCAGAATCCCAAGTCGGGGGCAGTCACTTATTTCAAAGTGTTCCCATTGTAGCCTGATTTATGCATATGGGGTCATCAGTCAGATTGCGGGGAGAGGGTTGAAATATCAATTCATTGCATGCACTCTTAAGGTGTCACGATCATGCAACGGACAAATACCATGGTATCTCTCCCTCCCCACCCCCCAATAGTTTGTATCTGACTTTTGGAGCCTGATGAACATTTCTTCAGCTTTAAATGAGCCCTTATAGCTGGGGTTGGAAGCCTGTTCCATATGTTCTTGAGCATCTCCTCTCATCATTGCTGGTGATTGGCCCTGCTAGCTGGAGCTGATGGGAGCTGGAAAACAACCATATCTGAGAGCTGCACATTCTGTATCCCAGCCTTAAAGACTTGTGCAGCATTATCCTTAATGCTGTGACTCTCTCTCTTCATGGTTCTGGGTCACATTGCATTCATTTCCTAATTTTCAGTGCAATGAGCTTTGCTTCCTTTGGGAAAAGGGGTGTGATAGGAGCCCTTAAACTATTGTGTAATCCTTTCTTAAAAGAAGAATTTTGTGTTTAAGGAATGCAGGGAGGGGAAGGGAGAAATATTTTCCGGGCTGCAAAACAGAGCCCAGCACGGATAGTGTTAGCTGCTTGCTCACTTTGAACAAAACCTTAGGAAAACCCATGGAATTCCATGCCCCATCTAAAATCTTCCGGACAGACACTTCCTTTCACTTGAGTTCATCTGACAGTTCGCTTTACGATCCTCCCTCATGATGATCCTAAACTTTGTGCATATGACTGAAGCCATAAACATCAAAGCAG